TACAGAGCATTTAACCCCAAGTTATAGTTGATATGACTATGCAAGATAAATTCAGTCCTTTTATCTTCTTTATACATTGGTTGTTTTCCTAACTCTAAAACTTTCAGCACTATTTCAAAGAACAACTGTGGGCCTGCTTAATGAAATCCACTTTAAGTTTTGTTTAAACTTAAAGTTGCTACATAATACCTGATTGTGTTCAAGTCACCTAGACGTTGATTTTAAGTGAAGTTAAAACCTTTGATCTAAAATCTCCATTATTACACCCACATTGTAACAAGCAATCGTTTCACTGGAACCTCACAAGGAGGTTGTGATGTGCAATCTCCTTGTGAGGTTGCATATCTAACGTGCAGGTAATCAAATGTTTGTAGGTTTCACTTTGACTCCTCCAATGTACTCCCTGACATTGTGGCCTACTAAGCCAGTCTTTATAAATCATTTCCATGTCAACATTGATAATTTTATTTGTAATACCTTCACAGTCTGTAAAAAAGTAAACTCACTTCATTGTGTTCAGTGACACTCGAGTTTCAGCAATTTCCAGTTTTACTCAAAAGTTTAGGGAGTAAAGGTAATCCAATCCACAGTCAACACAGACATCTACAATTACATATTAGAGCAATTCAGACTTTATAAAGTCTACTGACTGACTTTATAGGAACGCTGATTTCATTATCAGTAAGACTTGGCATGAGCTGAAACTGTCAAAGTACCAAAGCTGTTTAAATTACCCTTGTACCAAACTTGATTAGTCAGCAAACTCACCTGACCTCATTTCACCCAGTGAAATATATCAGCTATGTAGGCTGATGAGCTTTAAAATTGGATTTAAATTATTTGCCTCTAAAGTTTGAATTTTAAAAATTGTTTCTTTTTTCTTTTAAATTGTTCAAAGTACAAGCTGTCATGCTTGTACTTTGTTGTTTTCTGTTTGTTTCTCCTTTGTCCAAAATGAAATTGTGCTGATCATTTGGCTTTTTAATTGTTTCCTTGTGATTTATTCAACAAATTATTCAACTTTTGTTTGAAGCAAAAGAGCAACAGTTTCTCACTTCAGTTTGTGCAGATTTATGTCTCCTCTGAAATAAAAGATTTGCAAAATAGCTCAAGTTCTTTCAGACGAAATGAAGATGGACGTAAGCTTTCAAATAAAGGCAATTAGTTCTTAATCTGATTTTGAACTTCCTGTTGGCAACGATAATTTAAACCTGCTAATCATAAACCAGCTCGTCTAAGATAAACCTAATCTCATTTCAAGGTAAAAAATAAAGTCATAAAGTGTGTATCATTAATCCAAACACCACATCTCATGATAAGATGCCTATATAAATATCCCTTGCAAACAGCAGCATGTTGTTTACTTCAGCATTTAATTCACAAGGCAAGGTTTGTGTATGTTGTTGGGTGATCTATTGTTTCTGCATGTGCTGTGCATTGACATGATTTTATAACTTCCTTTGATTTTTGGTTACTGAACATTTATTTTGTTGACTCTATGCAGCGTAAGAAGCAACCATGAGAAACCTTTCAGCTCTACTTCTGCTGCTTCTCCAGGGAACGGTGCTGGCTCGAACATATAGTAAGTTTCATCATCTCTGTGTGTAACAAAATTGTTCAAATTATTAAGAAAAACACAGAGAAGATTAACAGTTCTGAAAGATTTAAATTGATCCCAATTAATATTAATTGAAAAAAGTTGAAGAATCATTATCAAAACATCTTTTATTCAGTATTTACAGTTCTGTAAAAGTTGTGTGTTGGTCTGTGGCTGTTTAACCTCCCAAATACCTGAATGACTTAATTGATGGAACCATGTTGTTCCTGAAAGATTTTAAAAAATTGCTGACACTATTTATTTATGTAATCTTTCTACTTGTTTTTTTTTTTTTAACCACAGAAAATGTTGCATTGCATGGAAAAGCCACCCAGTCTCACCGGATAGAGCATCCTTTTTCATCTGCCTACAATGCCATTGACGGAAACCGTCAGGCTACCTATGCTGCAGGATCATGCACTCACACTATTGGAATGACCAATCCCTGGTGGAGTGTGGACCTGCTGGATTCCTACATTGTCACTTCAATCTCCGTCACCAACAGAGGAGACTGCTGTCCGGAACGATTGAACGGAGCAGAGATTCACATTGGCAATTCTTTACTCTACAACGGTGCTGCAAACCCAGTGTGAGTTATTTTTACTGGTTGAAAGGTTGCTGGGAGGACTCCTGACAGGAAGTACAGGGAGGTAATGTTCTGCGGCTGTCGGTTATAAAAGCCAGGTGTCCTGGGCTTAGTTTATTGTCAATGAAATATATTTTTGTATAATTTATTTTCTTTAATCAAAACCCCTAAATTACATAATGTTCTATTAACGTAATGCTGAACTTCATATGTATTTTATGAAGCTTTGTCATGCTTCATAAGATATATTGTCTCACCGTAGTACGGAAGCGCATTGCTATCACGCAGGAAAAAAATTTTTTCGAGTGCCATCACGTTATAACGTGATATCTTGTTAAAACGTGATACTATCACGTTTTAACAAGATACATATCTCGTTAAAACGTGATAGTATCTCGTTAAAACGTGATACGTATCTCGTTAAAACGTGTTATGTATCTTGTTAAAACATGATAATTTTATGACCAGGAAGTGGCGGTATTATGCTAGGCTAGTACAGTGGCTAACATGAATTGGTCAGGTTTCCTTTCATGTTTGGTCTACAACATGTAGAGATACGGATGCTGCTTTGCACTGTGGTTAAAACCATTAACAGCCTGCGTACTCTGAGCAGGATCCTAAACAGAACGGGACTGCACAGAAGGAACCGTCAGTCCGGTCCTTTAGCTGTAGCGGCGTTCCTGACTGTCTGGATCGAAGCTCAAGTTGGCCTCCGATTGTGGCTTCTGATTTGGGAAATGGCTAAAGGGAGATTATAACGGAGGCTCAGACGTATTTGATAAACAGTTTCTGTTTTTAACAGTACACTTGCTGAACAACGGCAACGGCTGTTCGTAACCAAGCAACCGAAATCAACAGAAGGCTAGGTAGTGGCAAAAGACAAAACTAGATCCTGTTAAGCATTCTTCAAAATAAAAGACTTCCGCTCTCCAAAATAAATCAAATCAGCAAAAGCTGAATGGCCTCCTTTAAGCGTACTGAGAAACAATCACCTAATGATCCTGATTGATAAATCTCTACTCGGCTTGGCTCCAGCATACTTAAACTTTCTTTAACATAGATCTGTTAATTCCCATTCTTTACGTTTTTACAATATTTTTCTTTTGCATGTTCCACGTTTCCAAACTGAAAAAGGGAAGCAAGCTTTAGTGTGATGGCTCCTACAGCCTGGAATCAGCTCCAGTCTGAAATAAAGATGTCAAAACTGGTTCCACTGGACTTATTTCGAGCAATTCTTAAAAACAGACGAGATTCTATTAAACAGTGTCACTGTTTTTAAATTATTTTCTACTGTTTTACACTTCTGCATATGTATTAATTTTATTTTGTAACCACGTTGCTGTGTGTTGCAGACTTTTACTCAGACTTCTAACGAGATAACTATCACGTTTTAACGAGATAGTATCACGTTTTAACGAGATACGTATCACGTTTTAACGAGATACGCATCACGTTTTAACAAGATACGTATCACGTTATAACGTGATAGCGCTCGAAATTTTTTTTCCCTGCGTGATAGTACTTCCGTACAGTAGGGTAGTTATTATCACAGTTATTGTCTTATTGTCTCACTGTGAGACAATTTGTTTTCCCCCTCTTTTATCACCTCTGCATATACAGGTCTTAATAGAGATCTTTGCAAATATTTATTTCAACCTGGTTTGTGAATTTAGAACAGAAAAGGTATTAGATACTGGTTAAAATTTGGTTAAAATACATGAAAAGAAAAAGAAAAAAAGGATTTGTAAGCAAAATCAAAACTACAATGAACTCTGAACATTTTAGTAGTTTCCCCTGGTTAATACTTTGAGGGTTTTAGACCAACTTAAAAGTCCATTAATTATGTGGTGAAGAAAAGATCAACACTTATTTGTAATCTCTATTCTTAGATGTTTAACCTTTATTTTGATGCAGGATTGCTGATATTGTTACAATTATGTTTAATTGGATAGATAGGAATACATTTATCTAAAGTGACAAAACTATTTAGAAAGTGATAAAATAAGCTACGTTGAAACGTCAGTGATTACTATCATGAAACAAATCCTAATGTTCCTTTAACATTCTCTGTTTTAGGGTTGCTGTCATTTCTCATATCCCAGCAGGAAGGACTTTAACCATAACATTTACCAGACTTGTGGAAGGCCGTTATGTGACTGTTGTGCTTCCAGGTGCTTCCAGAATGCTCACTCTCTGTGAGGTGGAGGTTTATGGATACCGTGCTCCAACTGGTGAGGCCTATGCTGTTACTGGGTTTTACATATTCACTATAAAGCACTTAAATTACATTATATACTTCATATTACTTTATTAGGCTTAGTGATGTTCAAAATGCAGTGAGATGCTTTTGTCATGCTAAGAGTGAGTGTAAAGCAAGAAAATAGCTCATAAACATTTAGATTGTAAATGAATTTCTCATTGGTATGAAAAACAGACATAAAACATCAAACTGTGTTTTTAAATGTGGTTGGAACCTAGAAAGACATTCTAAGGCTCAATTAGAGCTGGAGATATAACATTGTGTCATGCCAGATGAAGCTTATACATAACATTTTCTTCAAATCCTGTTAAAATTAATTACACATGACATACGAAAACAACACATACATGTGTGGGATGCTATGTAATATAAAAGTTCAGGACTGATAAAAAACAAACTTTGGCAGACAAGGTAAGGAACTGCTTCAATTCTGGATCCTAACATTTAAAAAACAGGTTAACAGAGGAAAACTATGAGAATTAACATTTATTTTATTTTATCGTTTTTTTTGTTTGCTTTTTTTCTTTTTTTGCATAAGGGAATGTGGCAATTTATGGGAAAGCCACACAGTCAACGGTTTATCCTGGAGCCATCGCCTACTACGCTATTGATGGGAACCGTGCAGCACTGTGGAGCCAGAGTTCCTGCAGTGCCACAAATAATGACTTTAACCCCTGGTGGAGACTGGACCTGGGCAGCACCCATAGAGTGTTCAGGATCAACATAACCAATCGGGTAGAACTTCCCACTCGAATTAATGGAGCTGAAATTCGTATTGGAGATTCACTTGATAACAATGGAAATAACAATCCCAGGTAGTTTACAGTCCTCTTTTAAAATAAATAAAATATTACAGGATAATATGTTTTCTACTGATTCACTTTGTGCCATTTTTTGTTCAAGTAAACACTGAAAAGAAAATGTTTTTTTTTTTCCTTTTACAGGTGTGCTGTGATCTCAACCATCGCTCCAGGTTCTACTGAAACCTATCAGTGCAACGGCATGGATGGTCGATACATCAACGTTTTCATACCTGGAAGAAATGAGTATCTCACCCTGTGTGAGGTGGAAGTGTACGCATCCCAACTGGATTGAACTAAAGAGTCTAGGCATTACATGACAGGGATGTCATTTCATTTATAGGAGTCTCCACAATATAAATTATGAAGTTGTCATACTTAATTATAGTCAAATCTTAGAAAATTGTGACCACAAGATGGCAGAAAATCCTCACAATGAATTAAGTGTCAAAGCTCTCCTTCAGACATTTATTCACATCACAAATGATGAGCTTTCAAGTGTTTTATAACTGTTTACAATATTAGATTAATTTGCATCTCATGCTGAAGCTTGTGTTTAAAAATGAAAAAAATAAATGGCTTTTTACTTAAAGCATTTAGAGAATATACTTTCTTTTTTATTATGCTGCCTGGAGTCTTACAAGATTGTTTGACTTGATAATCTGTAGTTTGAGATAAGTTATCATGAATGATATCTGCCCTCATATTTTCAAGTGAAATAATTTTAAGTTATTAAAATCAACAACCATTGACCACTGAGTTGGTTAGTGCTTTTGATTTCTCCTTTTCCCCAAATGTATTCACTGTTCATAATTTATTTACTATACAATTATTTGCAAAGACAGCTACATCAGTCTCAGCTGCCATCTTTAATTCTCCCCAGACGTAAATAAAGTCTGGCTGCTCATGGAATTTATCCCATCAGATTATTGCCTGTGTCTGCAAGGGATTTTGGTTTCAAATTGGGATTAAGTGTAGTTTTTTCTGATCTTTAGAAACTTTAAGAATTTTTGCAAAACAATTAAATAAAACCAGGCCAAACAAGTTACTTCATTAAGTTTTAATTTGGAAAAAAAAAAAAATAAAAATACAGGAAGCATCTTAAGTTAGCTAGTTATGTATCTACAAGACAAATAATTGGCAAAAACTTTGTTTAAAACCATTTATCAATATCCAAACCTACTGACTGTGTCATACCTTACAATGATGCAGTAGTTCTTAAATCATTACAAATAACACATCTTTATACAGGAATTAATATAAATTCTAAAGTTTTCTAAGACACTGTGAAGGTGTTTTGAAACAATACCAAAACTGGAGCTGGACTTATTCCCACACAAAAACAGAAAAAATATTAAAAATGCATGCATGTCTGTAGCAAAACATTCAACTAAAAATTCCTAGCAGGAAAATTAAACTCAAAGGTCATCTCATCAACCCTGTCCCCAAAATCCAATATGGCTGCTGACAGTTTGAAACACTGCAGTAGCAATAGTTGACAGTTGGTTAACCTGAAGGAAGTTCAACAATGTCTGGTGTTGGTCTAGATCCATCAAACTTCAGAGATGCCAGCATTCATTTTCTCCAGAGGTTCTTGAAATACTCTTCAGTTCCCTCTGAGTATTGCTTTGAAGTAAAACTAATGTACATGAAGGACTTACATTTTTGGTTGTTAGAGCTTACTGGACGCATATTATTGCTAATTTATTTCATATTTTCCATGTTAGTGCTTAATCCTGTTGTAATTGTGTTATTTTTTATGGACCAGTCCATTATGAAGTTGACAGAAAATAATCTTAGTCTTAATGGTGCACATGTTAATGTGTATGTCTTCTACACAGGAGGCTCTAAATCAAATGACAGATGAAATTCTCAGGATGAAAGCAGGACATATTGATAGATGATATGCTTGGATTTCTGAATTTGCTAAAAAAAATAAGAGGCATGCAAAGATTAAAAGATCTAATAGCTCACAAAGTTATTGAAGATAATCATTATATTATTAGCGACTAAATGGAGCATTCCTATTGAAAAGTTTTTTTCTTCGTTACCACCCTGGTTGGTGCTTCTACATCATCGAGTCAGAATCTTAGCAGTCCTGCTGTATTCCTCTCATGGGTTGTCTTCCTCTGTCTCCTTGATGAAAACTCTTCCATCTGAGTGTTTTTTCCACTTAAGATTGTTGACACCACTTACATTTCCACCCAGCCTTTGCTTCATCTGGAATAAAGAAAAGTTCATTTTTTTTCAATAAAGTTTATATTGACTGAAACAAAGTGTACCTGCATTGATGCATGAATATCTGGAAGATTTACTTGCTCCAAGATGCTGTTTTGCACTGCAGGGTCATTCAGATCCAAACTTGAGTCCTGCAGGCTGATCCTCAGTTTTATGAACTGCAGTTTGGTTTGTACTAAAATAAATAAAAAAAATCCAAATTATTTGCTTTGCACTGCTTCCTTATTTTGCACATTTTACAATAGGTTTGTATTGGTTAAAAATGTTTACTTACTGCATTTGCAGAGGAAAGGATGAACTTCTGTACAGTTCCCGTCTCCCCATTTTCCAGATTCAGTCTTCAGCATTGCAACACAATTTTGATGATATTCTGTATTTACCAGTTGGGATTCCCTCCAGTACCTTAGTGAGGAGTCAGTCAGGTCTGACCAGTCGTACGGGTCTCTGAAGAGACCAACAAATACTGCTGTCCCATTGGCTACTTCCTGGACTGCCATGTATTCTGCGTCATTCCTCAGGCTGACCAGGTCTGTGAATTTTTTTCTGCAGAAATCTCGAGCGGCGGTCCATTTCATTAAATTTGGATTAAAGATGTACTGAGCTGCTCCTTGTTTTGTTCCTGAAATGAGAAATTTTACAATGTTTTGTATTCATTACAATAAAAACAATAGGTGAGATGATATCCAATGTGGCGGCTGTGCTGATAGAAGGAATTTCAAACTTTCAGAAATAAACATTTTTTTTTTTTTTATGGTTTACATCACATTAAGGCAGTGTATCAGAAGATACTGTACAACATCTGTAGAAAAACATGTTTATTCACATAAAATGAAAACATTCTTATTTGCAAATAGTAATCCAAAGTTATTGGAACTAAATCAAGCAATGACACTTTTAGCCTTTGGGATAATAAAGCATATCAGTGTAAACTTAAACAAATTTTCTCAACTCAAAATGTAATTGTGTTCAAAATTTACAAATAATATCAACTCCAAGATGCTGGCATTCATAATAGGCTCATTTGGTTTTTTTATATGGAGAACTCATGCATGTGTGGTTTTCGTTACATGTTATTAGGATCAAAATGCAAAAGAAATACTCACTATCAAAGCAGACTGAATGTCTATCTTCAAGACAGGAGAGTGTAGAAAGTTTTCCATTACTGAAAGTAGCACAGTTATCACCACTTAAAGGCATTCTCCATTTTATATAATTTCTTTCTCCATCCTCGTAGAAGTATTTGTCTGCCAGAGACCAATGCCACTTTAGCTCCTTTCCTCTGTGCAACCCAATCCATACGGCATCACTGTAGTCGCTTCCAACACTTTGAAGAGCCATTTCCATCTCATTCATGTCTTCGATTGTGGCCAGGTCAATGCATGTTTCCCTGCAGTAACTCTGTGCATCAGTCCAGGTTTTTGGAGTTTGAAATAAGACATATTGATGCTGATGCACACAGAGACAGAAAGAACTCAGTCCTGTAGATGAAAAATTAGAAGTGTAAAAAGCAACAAGGATTAGTCGGAAATGTTCTTGTCCGAGACGATTATGATTCTTTTGTGTCAGTTAGACACTTAGCACAGATGTATAAGACTAACCTGCAAGTATTATAAGACATACGACATTTCCCATGGCTGTAATAAAGTGAATAGGAAGAGAGAAAATTGATTAATTTATAGGAAGACTTCACATAATTTCTCAGCAGTGGTCTACAAACTAGACCACTGTTGTTTATTGTATTTATTTTGAAATAAATACAACTACAAATGTGCATCAGAATTGTTTATTGTCTTAACTGATGAAAAATTTATGATAAATATTGAGAATTAGAAAGCTTCTTACCTTAATTTTTCTGAGTCCAGTGTTCAAGACAAATAATGGCTACTGTTTGTTACTTTAGCAGTACAGAGTGTGCTTAACGTGTGTGGAGGCTGCTTTGGTAGTCATGACTGTCCTTATCTTTTTATGTATGGAAAACCATATGAAAATTACAGAGAAGATCACATGTTTACATTCTGTTATGACAACATATTAGGGCCGACGTTGAAAAAAGGAGTAAATTTCCACCAAAAAGGCAGACAGTTTTAGATTAATCTCAGAAATTTTCTAGAAAAAGAAAGAATTGTTTTGAGTTTGAAAAGTAACATTTTTCTCACTTAGTTATACATATTTAGTAATCACGGTCAGCCCAAGACTCCATGGGGCCCTAAGCAAAATGTGGTTTTGGGGCCCTCTAGTTCTGCTAACAGTGTGAACTGGCTGCAATGATCATTAGATCATTCACACACCTACTATAAACTTATTGCATCTCTGGCAGTGCTGTTCATATTATATACTATCCTTATGTATAAAAGGATAAATGTATTGGCCAACTGATTTTTCGACCAGCTGATTTCCTTAAGTTTGGGGGTCGTGATCGGCTGATACTTACATGTGAAGCCCATATTATCCCCTAATCTTATCTTCAAAGGTTTAAAGATCAGCCTCTGTCCTCTTCTGCTCTGCAGTGAGAGGTTTGACTGACAGACCAGCCAACCAGGTCAGGTCTGCACGTTTACAGTTAACAATATTCAACCCACTGTTACCATAACCGTGACTTTCTTGCTATATTTAGCGACATTTCAGACAAAAAAAATTCATATCAACCAAAATCAAAATTAGCAGGTCTGGTTTTTTAAAGATCGGCAACCAGGGATCGGCCAGAAAACTGCAATCGGTGCAGCCCTACACATATATTCATCACATTCTTTTATTAAATGAATTTCTCTTAAGCGTTACTCCAACAGCTAAAAATGTTATTTATACCAGGTGAGTCTTTCTCCCCTGAGAATGTGGACCGGTACTGGACTGATTCTGTGCCTTCAAATGATTTTAACTAAAGTTTCACATAAATTGATGTAAAAAAAAAAGTTTGTTTTAGCCACAAAAGGATTATGCTCAGCAGCAAACAACATATCCCCAACTACAGCATAGAGTAGCTCATCGATGCAGCAGCTATGTAGCCTGACGTAAAAGCATTTTGCTCGTCAAACATTGAGAAGTTTTATTGTTATCAAACGGTGTCAAGCACGGCGTTCTGAAGCCAAAATACCTCAGAAATATACAGAGCCAAGCAGGAGAATCAACTCATTTAAAGTTTAAACTCAGTTTCACACAAACACAAAGACGCTGGAATGTTGAACTGGACCGTTCCAGGTCGCTATCAAGCTAATTATCTATTAGCAGCTTTAGTAATATTTTACATTACATTGCCAGGGCACATAAAAAAAAAACCTTTATCTTGGTTGTTTTCTATTCTTCCTCTTTTCTCCCTCCCTGAAGGATAAGTCCTTTTTTGAGACATTGTTTTGCTGACTTAACTTCTGACCGGAGCATTGGACGTTTGGATGCTCAAAGCACAGTAGCTCATATTACCGGCGAAGCGTGCGATACCTACCGTGACCACCAGGAGTCCCCAAGAGCAATAATTTTTTTTTCTTTTTATCAATAAAATTATAATTTCTACATACATTATCAAAGATATATCATTGTAAAAACAAATCACTTTATAGTGAAATTGTGTGTTTTTGATATTATGACATAGAAATTATTACTTTAAAAAATCAGCTCTACTGAGGGGGCCCTTTAGTGGCCTTGGGGCCCTAAGCTGCTGCTTAGTTTGCTTATGCCTTGGGCTGGCCCTGTTAGTAATACACCATCACAAATTGTCAACAAGAAAATAAATAAAGAGCTAAAAGGAGATCAATCTAGAGGATACATAAAAGAAGAATGTATAAATATAAGCTTGATCCAAAATAATAAAACTGCAACGTAAAACTGCAAAAGAAACCTTAAATCAGGGCATTTAATTCTACAATTTGTTGCATAAAACAATGGCTATAGGGATGTCTGTAACTCAGTTATTCATAAGTGTTTTAGAAAAGAAGGGGCTGTTGATTCATGCAAACAAGGAGAGTCTGATCAAAAATAAAATAAAACTGTGTAAAAGGACGTGTAGGTAAGTTTTGCAGTTACTGGTGTTAACAGAAAAGACCTGAAATCTAAAACCTGTTTCATTTTAAATATCTCTTTGTGCATGACACAACCACTTATACTTTCTCACAAAACCTGCTTATATGGTCAAAATGCTATTTATCTGTGGTTTAAAGCTTACTGTAATACACCCTTGCAGTATTAGAGAAAACATTGGGCTTAAATGGGGTTATTTGTCTTTTTGCAATGACTGTTTAAAGTGGACATGTCAAACAAGGCTAATCAGTAACTAAACACTGTAAAGTATTTGCCTACACAAATCTTTGTTAGAATTTAAAACTCATGCTAATTGTCTTGTGAACACAGATAAGGTTCTTGTGAAAACAAGAGAGCGACACAAGCGAGCATTGATTCTCAAGTGCAGCTTCATTCAGCAGAATCATAAGAGTTTCAAGGTTCAATCTGTGCCATTCTAGCAAGAGAAGCTGAAGGTGAACAAGGCTATTACTAAAGAGTGACAGGATCAGCTGTGCAAAACATAGTTTAATAAAAATCCCACACATTCCCAGTGTGTGTGATCCCAGTGCAAAGTATCTTCTTAAATAGCATTTTAAAGCATTTGTCTTTCATTTGTTTTTGAACTCTGTTTAGTTGCAGACGTGTGCTGTTGAAATGATTCAGTTTTAAAAATATTTCTGAACTTTTAGTATGAGTTCAGAACTTTGCCCTTATTCTTACAGCCAAGCCAATCTGGGACAACATAAGTAAACACAGCTTGGGATTTTCAGTGTTGCTCAACAACTAAATGCACCTCATTTAAAAACAACTATTGACTCCTTTAACTGTAGTACTGCAGTGTATTGAACTAATTTGCAGATATTTTAAAAATTATTTTATAATGAGGTGAATAAAAAAGTAAAGTAAGTTTCAACAATGTATTGCATGTTTCAAATTGTCCTAACAACATGAGTACAATATGATCTGTTTGGCTTGTAATTTGTTCTATAAACAATCTTATTGAATGTTTTATTATTAGTCAGCCACTTCTAAAAAACAACCACTTCACCTACTCCCCACTCCAGATATTTGAGGCTTTGTAGAGAATATATTATGTTGACAGAAGCAGAGTTCTTCATATTTAGGCCTTAAATTGATAAGGAGGAAAAAAGCTGGTGGACTTTTCAGAAATTATTTCCCATACACAATTCAGAAAGGAGTAAACCACACAAAATAAAACAATAAATGCTTTATTTGTATAAAGATTAAAAATGTTTTTCTTTTAAGACTAACAAATCACAATGGTTACATGAATCTGTAATCGTACACAGACTGACTTCATAATGGAGTTGAAAGAAACATAAATTATACTAACAAATAACTCGGTATCATCATGTTAAGGTCTTACTTTAATCATTTCTCATCAACACTGGAATTCTTACAAACTCCTGTAACATGTTTCCCCTGACCAACTGATTAATGTTGTTGGATCTAAAATTTGAAATATTTCCGTTTTGCAGAGAAGGGGTTAAACATTGTTACAGACAATAGCTTGTAAGAACTTATAAACTGAGTAACAGTAAGCCAAAGCAATATTTTTTACTTTCATTTACATCTTCAACTATATTTTCGATGTCTAATATTTTAAGTTCCAACAGAATTAATGGAAGTTGTTCCTTTTAAAATAAAGTTTATAAACAGGTTTTTTTTTACAATGATCATATTACTCTTCTGTTGTGAGGATGATTAGTGTTTTTAAAAGATCCACATTCAGATTCACAGTGAATTTGAAAGTGTCCTGAACCTTAGTAAATATTTTACTGTTGGCAATAATGACTGCTTTTATTTAGGAGGCATAACTCTGTGTTTTACTATGTCTACCTAAAGTTTAACTAACCCATTACCTGTTTAAACAAAGATGGCAAAGTCAATAACTGAATCCAGTGACAGCTGGACTTTCCGAGCTGAAGCTTACTGAGAATTGTAGGAGTTGAATTCTCTGAGATGTGATTGGACAACAGGTGAGTTTTACCTGATATAAATAGATGAGTGAAGGACTTAGCAAACGCTCAAAGGCAAATCCCTCACCTCAAACAGCAAACCCACCTAAGAATCAAGGTAATTTCTCAGTTCTCATAAATAATTCTTACCAAAAATTCTCACAAAAAGGACACGATTTACTATAATATAGCATAAAATGTTATAAAATAGTTATACTATTCTAAATCCCAGTTTTTCTCTGTTTTTGTCAGAATCATGAGGTACGATGTACTATTTCATTTGCTGCTCCTCCTGCCAATCTGCTCAGCTTACACTTACCGTAAGTAGCATGTGAAAGTATTTGTGTAAATTTAGAATAAATATCTTAAGCAAAACAACCAATATTGTGATTAATTTATTCTTCGTTGAATTTCTCTGATCTTCTCAGAAAATGTGGCTTTACGTGGCAAAGCTACACAGTCTTCTCAGTACAAAGGGGAGCCTTGGAATGCATTTGTAGGTGCTTCCAATGCTATTGATGGAAACCTAAATGCTGACCTTACAAAGGGATCTTGTACCCACACTGATACTGAAAACAACCCCTGGTGGAGAGTGGACCTGCTGGACTCATATATAGTCACCCAGGTCGTCATCACCAACAGAGGAGACTGCTGTGCAGAGCAACTCAGTGGTGTGGAGGTTCGCATCGGAAACTCTTTACGACAAGATGGCACTGTAAACCCACTGTGAGTGATTATGTCATGGCTACAGTATGAAACAAGGGAGGCTCAATGCTGCTCAGATTTGAATTTTTTTCATTTCTGCATCTCCCCTTAAACAGAAACATACTTGATATGCAAAGAAACATCAGACTTGGCTACAAGCTGATAAACATTTGAGCACACTCTGGAAGTGTTTATAGTTGTAATTTTTCTTGTGTTACACTGTGTTTCCAAAAAACACACTTTGATTAGACGGAAATGTAACAATTGTTTCAGATTAAAAGAAATAGATGAGGGTAATTAAAATAAAAAGATTTAGACTGAGTAAAATAGTGAGTTAAATAAAGGAAATCTCCAGTTTTAGAGCAAAACTCCTTTAAACTTTGTAAATGTTCATGTTTTGGTGACACTTGATGGAATCAAATGCAAAGAGACGTAGGAGGCTCTCTGCAACAAACAAAATTACAAAAACCACAGGGAGTCAATAATTCACAAGGAGAAAAATGGATTATGAAAGAGGTGTGATTAAATACTGGGAGAGTGAATGCAGGAACAATAGACCTGGGCTGATGAGGGGATGGGTGTGAGGGGAGAGAGCAGAGGGAGAGCACACTGTGCACTGGGAAATTAATCTGAATCTACTGCCAAGTAACTAAACAAAGTAACAAAATAAAACTGGACTGAGCAAGAAAAACTAGACAAGAAATAAACTCTCCAATCACTAAGTAGAAACAAAATTAACAATAAAACAAGGCAGAACAAATATAGATGAGAAACTAAGGAACACAAATAATGACAAAACCCAAAACAAACTCAAACAACCTAAGATTTTAACAACTTTTTTTTTGTTTATCTTAGCTGCATCGATCTTTGCACAGGTGATGTCCAGTGGTGGATCTATGGTTTCCAAAAGGTTTTAGCCTTATTTATGATATTTCTAAAAGTTTATAGTCTGTATATTGCAAAAACATTCTGCCGATTCCATCCTCATTTTCCCTGAAACTCTATCAGCTGCTGTGATCCTTTCAATTCTGATGGACTTTTCCAAATATAATCTTCATATCGATACCAAGATTATTAAAATAAAGTTTGTAATTGTCAAAAAAATCTAAATTAGATTTTTCACATTAGATTTGGGTTTGTTATTTTAAGCACCATAGCAAACCCTGTGGGGATTACTCTTACTAAATCATGAATGTTACCAATACAACTGTTCTTTTCCAGGGTTGCTACCGTTTCTACTGCTGCAGCTGGAAGCTCTTATGCAATGAATTTTACTGAGCGTGTTGAAGGACGTTATGTGACCATCATAGCACCTGGTGTGAACAGGGTTCTACATGTCTGTGAAGTGGAGGTCTACGGATACCGCGCCCCAACTGGTGAGAATCTTTCGAAACATGTTTGATCATATTTTATGATCAATGAGCACCACTGACAAGCTTGATTGATTAGACCACGTTAACCCAGGTATACTTGATTGCTCATCTTGTAACTTCTCAAGTTTAAATTCCAATAACTCTTTGTTGTATTTTATCTTCTGACCAACATTTAAAACTGCATTCACACTTACATACAATAAAAAAAATACATATTTTACTATTATGATGCCTGAATCGGGGTATTTACAAAATAAAATTTACTTAAAGGTTATAAATGACAAAACCATTTTCTTTTAATTTGTGTTGTTTTTATGACTTTTTGAAGACAAAGTGAAAACAATTAAAGAGATTTATACAGACAGCCTTAGCCAATATTTAACTCAATCATAAGATAAAGCCTGGACAAAAAAGAACTGTTTTCTCAATGTCAACACTGTTCATGAATGTAAAATGTATTTTAAAATGTAGCTTATCTGCTGAAAATTGTTGGGAATTTAAAACAAAAATTGGGGGGGAAAGCACCTGCTGGGAGTACTGTCACAAAAAGTAGAAAGATATTTATTTTCTATAACAAATTATATGTCAATTCTTATTCAAATATGAAAACAATATGTTTTGCATCAATCAAATACAAAATGGGCTATTTAACAAATAAAAAAGTTAACTTTTAAATAAGGATGTGCAGTTGTCAATATGTACATAGCCAGAGCATATTAGAAGATTATGTGTCATAGCTGACATTTAACATTTTGTTTTGCAGAAGAAAATGTGGCAGTTTATGGAAAAGCTTCACAGTCAACAGTTTATCCTGGAGCCATCGCCTACTACGCTATTGATGGGAACCGTGAAGGCCACTTCAGCCAGAGTTCCTGCAGTGCTACAAATAATGACTTTAGCCCCTGGTGGAGACTGGACCTGGGAAGAACCCATAAAGTCTTCAATATTAACATAACCAATCGGGTAGAAGTTCCCACTCGAATTAATGGAGCTGAAATTCGGATTGGAGATTCACTTGATAACAACGGAAATAACAATCCCAGGTAGTTTACAGCCATTTTATCAAAACACTGAATCCAATTGAATCATGAGAAATATAGAAATTATATTTCTCATGATAATTTTTGCTAAATTAATGTATCTTTAAGTATGTTCTCAAATCTTAAATCTTCTTTCCTCTGACAGGTGTGCTGTGATCTCAACCATCGCTCCAGGTTTTACTGAAA